CGCTTGGGCATGTGATGAATGGGCCCAGATCTCAGAAGGAAAAAGACATTTAGTTTGCATTAGGTCGCTGTCATGCCCGCGCAGCAGCTCACAATTTAATTACAGTAAATGGTAAACATCGTATTCACGTTTTACGAAACAATAATTCAGTAGGCCTAATTGCTTTGTAGTTTCACCGACTTAACACTTGAGCGATTACACAAGTGGAATCGGCTTGTTAAACAAAAACGGTTCAATCCCATTACTTCTACGGACTGCTATATTCTCTTAGCGTGTGGAATGAGCAAGTGGGCTTAATGCGCTCTCCTTTTTCTCCCAAATGCCCACACTCACACATCTTCACTGTGGAAGGGGTCGGTTCTCTCCTGGTGATTTGTCACAGTTCCTCTTTGTATTACACACCACCTCTCCTTCACACTCCACACCCCCCACCCCGGACCCCTCCCCTTCGCCTCTCTCCCCCTCTCCTCCCTCGCTTCCTAAATCATTTTTTAACATGTGTGTGGGTGCCCTCCCTCGCTGTGATCCTGATACTTCATAACGGCAGGAGGAAATTGAGCTGACCTTGAGGCTGCCGAGCTCCTTTTATAATGCTGATGTATGGGGGCCGTGGGCGCCGGCAGCCAGTAAGTGAGAGGCATGTTTTTATTTGCCGGGGAGCAGGGCCCGGTGTCAGGACACATAACGGGGTTCATTCCTCGCCCACTTGAGCTGGCTGGTATGCCGGGAAGCTTAGTGTCAAGCAGTTGAGTCCGCGAGGTGTGATTTACCTGCATTAGCCTTTGTGTACCTGAATATATATTACGTCATGCTGCCCCAAAGCCTCGAATAGATTCAACCCTCAGGATAGATTGGCCTCACTTAAATTTGATTTAGATTGTGTTGGCGAGTGGCAAAAGTGTTACGGTGGTTGATGCTGTTAGCTCAAGGTTGACTAGAGATTCATTTCAACGGGGTTGTTTCCGGCCGGTTTGCATTCGAGAAAGGGGCACCGGGCAATCGTTAAGAAGGAGATAAAGTCTCTTTCACTACCTCGTCGCACCCCGCCTGTCATTATTTTTTCAGTGTGGATGGCCCACTTTCTTCCCTTCGGTAGCTCTCTGCTCATCACGGCAATCATCTCCCTCCTAATGCAATCAGCATGCTCTCAAATGGCATGATTGGGACCAAGTCGGTCGCAGGCAAAGACGAGAGCGCTTATGATCCAAGCACGAACGCTGTTCAGGAGGTGCGCTCGAAAAAAGGGGTATCTGCAAATATAATGCAATCCAATGGGCCTGCATGTAATGGCCCCTCTGTGAGGCTCGGAAGATGCATTTTACGAGAGAGGTGTTAATTCAGCTGGATCACTGAATCTGAAATGTCATTAAAGGGGTTATAAGCCCATTAAATATTTCTTAGATCCCGTTGGGACGTTTACAAATTGTTTGCTTTGTTTGGCCAACAGTCCAACAACCAAAGGTATTTAGTGAGAGAACACAAAAAAGCCCTAAAAGCTGAATTTATTTGTTCTATTGTCTATCAACACATTTTTTAAATGAACATTTGTTAATAACCAGGTTTTCTCTAGTTTCACATACACATACAAATATCACTTTTTGCATATTTCAGAATTCATAGATTTCTATGCAATTGGTCATTTTAAAATAGCTTTGTGGGAAATACACAAATGTCACTATGTCTCGCAATCCTAAAATCCCCAAATCACTGAAAAGCTGCTGGAAGAATCTTCATTTCTCAGATATTTTCCATTTTCCAGACAAAGATGTATTTCCTTCAAATACTTCTTTCAACATGAAATGCAATCTGCCTTTGCACAGCATGTAACTTTCAACACATTTCTATTACTACTCGCAGGCTTGTTGCTGCTTACATGCTTTTCCAAACAGAACCTCTTTGATAGTTCGGCGCCGGGAGATTTTCACCACGACGAAAGGGAAAGGGAAACGGTACACCGGGATCCGTTTTCACTTGTGCGTGAGAGATGTTAGAAAGCCATCATTTAGAGCTTTGTGGGTAATGGGTAGTGGGTCCGGTCGACATTAAGATGAGAGCAGGAAGCTCTTCAGGCAGCCAGTCGGGCTCACTGGCACAGATCCACTCGCAGAACCCCTCTGAAAACAGGCAGACGCCCAATTCATTCACAGCCTGTCCAACAACGCGTTGACTGTGCACAAAAATATGTTTTAGCGGCTTCACAGAGGCCGACTAATCAATTGATCCAAAGTTCTGCCGTCCATTGATCCTTGGCACGGCCTGCACCCAGAGTATTACCCCACATGTGTACTAATGATATCATCGGCAGCCCCCCGGACGGTCTATCAGTGCGGCGGAAATGCTGATAAAAAAGACCAGAACCATACACGGAAACATTTGCACTGCCAAGTGCTGCGGTGAATGGTCCAAATCTGCTTTACTAATGCCTCGCTGTCACTCTAGCACCCCCTCCCCGCCCTCTCCCGTTTCCCTTCCCCACCTCATCGCAGTAACAGCGTCGTGGCGGAGCGGCAGCGAGCCGGCTGGTGCTGCTGACTGGCATTCTGTGTGGTGATGAATGTGCCGGCCCGACGGCTCAATGTGCTTACCTAACAGGAGCGGCTCTTCTGTCACACTGAGTTTCTCAGTATCTCTCTTAAAAAAAAAATATATATATATATATATATATATATATCTCACCAGTCTTTTCTTTTTCCTGAGGTAGTAAGGAGAGCGTTCCACTTGGCGAGACTCTGCAGCCTCCACACTGTTTCTCAAAGGTTAATGGAGCCTCCTCACACTAATCACCGCTTGCTAGGTGGAAATTAAGGTCAGCTGTGATGACCGATACTGGACTTATGGACGAGGGAATCAGGTTTCCAAGAGTTTTAATCTCGACCAAATTTCTCCGGTCATAACGCAGTGGAGGTGCAGCACACGCCATCTTTGGCGCCCTGGTGCTGTGTTATGGAGGCGTTTTGGCAGTGGTCTTGGTTTAGAGAGGGGATTGAGGTTTGGCGTTTGGGGGAGACTTGCCGTGGGAGGAAAAGGTCTCTTGGGGGGGGCGAGCGTGTCCTGAGCGCATGCATATTCACTCAAGATGAAGAAGGAAGGGCCAGTTTGTCTTTGTCATCATCCACGTCGCCCCCAACGTCATCACATACAATAACCCTCAACTCGCAGAGCACGGAAAGCATTTTGCTCTCACATGAGCGCACTAGAATATACGAGTGGACATTTCTGGGCCCGTGGAGCTCGTCTTAGTTGCTGGACGGATGGGTGGTTTGATGAATGCTGTTGCGTGCCATTTGCCATTCGGATACAGCTTGTAGGGCCGAGATACGAGCAGATTAGACTGACGACGGGTTTGCCACAGACTGATTGAAAAACAACGACCGGGAGACGGACGAGTCGGCGTGGGCGGGTCTTTGGTGGCCACGTTTTCTCTCCCCGCGGAAATTCCAGAGTTACTGAGGGGGATTTCAAAAATGAATGGAAGCTATTCATACGTGGATCTAATCCTCAGATTTACTGCCATTTAATCTGTGGTTATGGCAGCGCTCTTGATGGCTCTAATGCCGTCAAGCAGATGTCCCGGCTCAGCCGTCCAGGTCAGGACACACCTGGCGACACCATTGAGCCGCGGCACTCTGCGGCCCGGCGCACATTTCACCTTCTCCCCGGGGGCCAACTATCGTACGAAAACGCGTCTCGGTGCGTCTGAAAGAAACTTGAGCCAAATGTTAACGTCAAATATTTTTGAACTCCAAATCCCCTTTGAATTTGGATCTTGCCGCGAGTATAAATTGTTATGTGCTCATGTGGAGGGTTTCCGTGTGTATTTGTGCTATTTTTGACAGTGCAGCCGGCTCGCCGTGCTGTTTGAGACCGGATGGAAAGAGATTCTTGGATTTTATTCACTGCACACCTGCCGTTCTCTTCAGGAGTTCAGGAAGGGAACAGACCATTTCACTTCGATACCCAGGCGGCGTTCAGGAGGCCTATTGCAGTATGAGTAGCCAGTGAATACTAACAAGTTGAAGTGTCATTTTGTACTTCTGGTAAATATCACCGATCAATTTTACCATGAAGAAATAATTGATCAGGAAACTAGCTGCATCCTCCTCTCGAGAGATGTCCGTTAGTTCCGCTCATCAATCCTGTCATCCTGCCGTTCTCGCAGTATTCAGAGCTTTATGACATGACATAAAACAAACACATAGGTTGTAATATTTTATTCTATATCTATATATTTTAAATCATGTAGAAATATATTCCCATGTTGTCCTCATCGTCATTAATTTTGCAACCAACCAAAAGGTGATTTGATTTGGATGTTGTATGTGACTGCGGGCACAAGCATGACCTGAATCCACACACGTAATACACCTCTCCAGTCGGTGCGCTATTGAAATGTAGCAGATTGATAGTGTGTGTGTGTGCGCGTGTGTGTGTGTTTCTGGGTGTTAAAGAGAGTTAATGCAGAGAATCTCCTGGTGTGCCGATGCTGAATGTGAAATGTCAATGTTTTTGACCAGGTGCTGCGAGGCAGAGCTGTGATGTTTTTATTTCCGCGCTCTTGTCAACCAAGGCAGAGAAGAGAGGGCTCATGGGATAATGGTGGGGGTTCAGGGGGGGGGGGGGGGCGACTGTGTGTGAGTGTGTGTTTAATAGTGTGTGCAGCAGGCACGAGTACCTAGATCTGTGTGTATCCAGAAAGGTTTATTGTAAAGAGGAAAATGAATATGGGCTCAAAATAAATGTTCACAATCTCTTCATGAAAAATGTTAACTGCACTGCGAGGGGGCATTATCATTTTTTTTGTTCTTGCAGCGGCTTCGTTCACCAGGTGTTCAACGTGATGCCAAATATGGCTGCTGCCTTTATCTACTGTCAAGCTGTTATCACCTTGTTTGTTCCATTTGCACGTCATTTATGATTTTTTTTTTGTATCCCCCTTTCCTCTCTGTGTGTGTGTGTGTGTGTGTGTGTGTGCGTGTGCGTGCGTGGTCTTCCCCTTTCAGTTTTGTCGTTGCAGATTGTCGTTGTGTCAATACTTGTTGAGAGGCAGTGTGAGCTAAGAGGTGAATGCAGTCAAGGTTAGTCAACAATCCTTCGTGACACTGCAGCACCCACTAACAGTGTTTTCCCCTCTGCACAAACCCCACTGCCCTTCACCCGAGATGTTTCTATTCCCCAGCCGCTGGACGTTGATCATGTTCTCTACCTGCCCTTGGTCCTCTCAGCCTTATATCTCTCCATCATCATCAGCCCCCCCTCCTCCCCTCATTGTGCTTTGTCTTCTCCGCTGTGCTCCTCCTCCTCCTCCTCCTCCTCGCAGCCATCTTTCTCACTACTTTCTGTTCCAGTGGAGAGAACAGCTCAGGCCTGTCAGCACTCATTCATCCCTCAACTGCTATCTCGCGCTAACCCACTCCTGTTTCTGTGTCCCGATGCATCATTTCCTATGTTTTAGCGTTAACCTAAGCCGCTCCTTCCTTTGTGATACTGGCATCAGCGTGTCTTTAAGCCGTCGATCTGCAATCGGCATCACTGCCAGTTTCCTTTCCGCGTTGTGCTTGTATTCCATGCAAGCATGTGAAAATGTATTTACTGTTTTGCCATTTATGCTTTAACTCGTCCACCATTTATATAAAAGAAAAAAAGAAAGAGAGAGAAGCGGCAGAGATCCCAGTCATGATACGGGGGGGGGGGGATGGTGGCGAGTGGGGCTGCAGTTCAAAGCCGACTAGCAGGTTACTTAATGAGTTTTGGTAATTGGCTTGCGGTGGCCTCCTCGCATCCCTGCCCTCCTGCTGCTGATGTATGCAGGAAGAGGGAGAGTGCTCTGGCTTCCACTCCCTGTCTCAGTCCTTCCTTCCATCACGCCGCCCATCCATCCAGCCATCCCTCTTCCACAAGCAGCCTCATGTAGACAGCGTTTCACCAAGCAGCCTCTGTCTTGTGTTAGCTTTCCACTCTGCTCAATGTCAAATATCAATGGCGTTAGCCCATCTCCCATTCCCACAGTCTCCCCCATCTTGTTTGCTGTCTCTCACAGGCATACTCCCTTCATAGCGCGCACACGCGCAAACACACACACACACGCGTTCTACGCTAGATGCTTCATGCATTATGCAGAATATGTGCATCCAAACAAGCAATTTGCAGAATTTCCAGCTCACCACTTCTGAGAAGTAATTCTCTGTGTGTCCACAACAGCGTAATGCGAAACACATTTCCATGCTCAGTTGATTCATACGTTCAAACAATAAAAAACAAAGAGTTGCGGGATCGCCATGTAATCAGGAATGACACCGAACATATAATTCTCAGATTTCAGCACATTATCTCCTCTCCAGAGACATTAAAGGGACAGTTCTTCTTCTTTTTTTTAATCACTAGAGGAAAAAAACGCATCTAATCTGGTTTGAATCTCATTAACTCAACGTATAGCGATAGTCGTAGGAAAGAAAATCTTGGAATTGAGAGACCTTTTGCTTTTACTGGGGCTTGTTTATTGCTTTGTTTGTGTATAGCAAGCTTGTAGATGTAGTGCCTTTGGGGACCTGCACTAGTGAGGCTAAGCTAATATATGATCTGGCTAATGAGCACGCTTCCTACCTATTCCCATTAATTTCCATTTTGTACCTTTTTTAAAAAGCCCTAAATGAAGCCGTTAGCAGTTACAAGACTGCTGCCAAGCTTTTTATCTACTCCCACAGTTGAGCGGTTGATTCTGAGCGCTTTTGGGGTCGGGAGGCCAAAGCACAGCTAAGTGGCTCCTCTTGACCCCAGCACTGATCTCCCAACTGTCTCCTCCGACGGCACACAGACCGATTTTACCCATTCGCTCACACAAAAACAGTCCAACCTCATAAACATAACCTCCGCGTGTCTCTTTGAACGACGACGCACCATCTTCTCGCCGCACTGTGTGTTGACATGCCGACAGCACATTTGCCTCCTGAGATTACTTCTCTGCTGTAATTCAGGGCCAAATTGGAAAGAGAATGAATGCAAGCGACGCAAGATGGAAAAATTCAAGATGTGACAAATTAGCTTCAGTGACTGGAGACTTTCTCAACTATAATGGATGTGCTTATTCTAGTTATCACTATGTATCCGTAAACTAGATGGCAGGATCATTAGCGCACACGGAGGGGCAGCCGAGTGCGTCCGGGGCAAAGTAATTGATTTCAGAAAAAAAAACACTAGAGATCCAGCTTTGTGGCCCATACGGTGCATTTTAACACGCGCCTTGTGAATTATAGCGTAGGGAGCACCTCATTTTTTCATTTTGTTCACAAGCCTGCCCCCTCCCCACCCCCCCAACCCCTCCAACCCCCGTCCCATCCCCCTCTTTTTAGCTCAGCAACAGCAGAGAGCTGCGCCTCCCCCGCGTGTCCATGCGGTGGCAGTGTGCGGAGGTGAGACGGCCCGTGTGCTCCACTCGCCGAGACGAGTAACCGCACAGGAATCACACACCCCAACCGCCACTCTCTCTTTTGTCCTTTACACTTTCATGATCCCGAGCCCCGCTCCCTCGGCCGGCCGCCGCCGGTTTTCACCGCGCAGGGATAGAACTGCACTAACTGCATCCAGAGCCGAGCTTCAAACGCCGCTTGTTTATCTTAGCCGGGTTTTTGTTCACAAAAGGGAATTGCCTGAAATGTAAACTTCCTCTTTCTTCGCCGCAGCCTGCGCTCCTTTCTCTCTGCTGCCCTCTTGGAAACGAAGTCTCATTCCTCAGAGTCGGTCGCCGGTGCAGCCGTGGCCGGCTCAACTGCTCTTTTATTCCGATGAATGAGGCCCTGTTTAGCCCCGAGAATCAGACGGACACAGACGGTCCGTGTGGAAGCTGGAAGAATGTCCGTGGGAAATCGGGGCCTTTAGCGAAACGCCATCTGAGTTATTACACATGTGCACTTGTTTTCACTTTCCATGCGTGTGACCCCATCAGCGTACGTGACTTAGTTTTTTTTCTTCTTCTCTTTCTTCTGGTTCATGAGCATTTAACGCGCAAACCTTCTCCCCCCCCCCCCCCCCCCCTCCAAGCTCTCTGTGAGCCGCGGTTGTTGACAAACCGTTGACAGTGTGAGCTTTTATTAAAAGCAGTGGTTTGCTGTTCAAAACAGGCTGCATCAAAGCCTGCAAATCAGCACTCAGGTTTTGCTGCACTGTCAATGCTGGGATTCATCTCACTTAACATGCGATCAGTCTGGCTGCCAGGTGGCATTTACCTCCATCTGGAATAAGGTGCACTTGTTTTCATATAATCCCAAAAGAAAACACAACAGCAAATGCAATAGTTTCACCAAATGGCAGCTGCACGCTGGTTTCACTCTCTTGAGTAGCTTGTGTAGCTTGGCAGAGAGATTCGACATATGCAGCCTACAAGTGTCTTGGTTTTCAGCGATGCTGCCAAATGAGACTGTGAATAGCTCTGTAAACGAGATAGCTGTGTGAGGCCGGAGCCGCGAGGGCCTAAGGTGAAATGCCTTTCCTCGGCTTCTTTGAGGAAAGATCACAACTGCGTTAATGATCACAAATAAAGGCTTGCAGGTTAATCACTAGCTGCCTGTCTGGATCGTCTCCAGAGGACGTTGTGGTTTTCAGTTAGTCTTTTGTCACCACAACGGGGCTTTTTGCTTGCGTAGTGAAAAGTGCAACCTCTTTCCTTTTTTTTTTTTTTATGGTGTCTGTTGTTTTTTTTAACTTGTTTCCTATTTTCAGTCTGAGAAATGTCACTGTGTTGAATTCTGATCTTCTTAGCTAACGCGGCGGTCCTCGAGTCTACACTTTAAATACCAGCGTAGTTAAGCATATTTAGTTGAGTCATTTCCTTGAGTTGCTTTGTTGGGTGATTGGAGAAGGTTGTTTTATTGCTTCCCTTTCTCTCAACCCCCTCCAAGCAAAGTCTGCGTTTTAATTAGTCGTGTAAGACCCTATTTTCCCTCTGGATTTCCCCCACTTGTAAAGTGCTCTCTTAAGAATCCATGAAGGCTAAAAAGGCCACTGAATGATTTGAAGTCAGCTTTTTCTTTCTCTCTCTCTCCTTTGCTTGCCTGCCAGCAGAGGGGGGGCGGGGGGGCGGCTATCAGCACTTGCCGTCAGTATGAGGAGCAGTAACTTCAAGCAGCAGTCAGGGTCTTTGTTCATTATGGATTTAGAAGGTGTGATGAAGACAGAGTCGCTGCTTTGAAAGCCGCTGTTTGCTGTTTTTAATTTGAGAAGAACTGCCCCCCCCCCCCGCTCTTCTTTTTTCCCCGCCGTCCTTTGTCTTATGTCTTGGCACCAGGGAAGTTCGCCTGTTACACCGTAGAGATTTAGTCATGTGTTAAAGTCGGGCTTCTGAAGAACCGCCATCGCCCCCCCCTCCTCCTCCTGGTGTACGAGTCTGTTTTCTTCTCCGGATCCCTTTTTTCCTTCAGCTCGTCTGCTCATCCCCGGCCAGCGCATTAAATGAAGTTACTAGATATGAGTGCTTAAGAGGCCGGGGCCCTCCGAGGCTCGCCAAGTCATCCGTGTCACTCTTTTCTGTTGTTTCAGCTACCGGCTCGCGAGCACTTTCTCTCCTTCTCTCCTTGTTTGCTGCCTCCGAGTGACTTGTGTGTCTCTGTGTGTGTGTGTGTGTGTGTGTGTGTGTGTGTGTGTGTGTGTGTGTGTGTGTGTGTGTGTGTGTGTGTGTGTGTGTGTGTGTGTGTGTGTGTGTGTTTCCTCCCTTCAGTGTGGAGAAATCCGGCTAAAGCAAACAGTGTTTGTCAGGCACAGCTTTTGTTGAGGATTCATTTTTAATGAGTGCAAGTGGCACAGAATTCTTATACCCCATAAAGGTTCAGCCGGGGGGGGGGGGGGGCACGTTGGCCTTTAAGTCTTTTTGTGAAGTAACACTTGGACTGTTTGATGTGGACAATGAAAGAAAATGAGTTTGTGCCGTTTCTTTTCCCTACACTCTAGTTTTGTTGGCCATTACGAGGAGTTGTTTCCCTTGTTTTTAACGATCTGTGGGGTAAAAAATTGCTGTCGCAGAAATGCCAACCCCCCCCCCCCTCCACGATTCTCGGGCGGCGCGCGGCTCTGTTTGATTTCATTTCTT